CTGATTATTTATTCTACAGATTTGGCCCACATACTGTACCATTCTCAGGTCCTTAATGTTATGTGCTGAACTCACAGGAGGACTTACAGTATAGCGCTGTGGGTTTCTCTTGTGTTTGGGGTTTTCTCTCCTTCTATCCTTTCCTCTCCCTCTCTCTCACCTTCTTTGGTTCGATTTCTGTGTTTGTTAACTTGTGAAACTGTGATCACATGGTTTATCAGAGGTGATCCAATTGCATTTCACACTCCCATTCACTTCAAGTGAAGTCTTGTTATCTCATAAAAAAAATATATGACACCTACCATCTACTCTGTAAATCTCCAAATCCTTGGTAGTTACCTGAAATCTTGCCATTCACTCAGACACGTTACAGCACACTATGGGACATGTCGTTACGCTTTATCGGGGGTAGGTCTCATTTTTGTACTTATAATAAAATTCTAGTTGATATCAGAAACTTGGCAGAGCAGATCAGTCCTGGATCACTGGCTATGATCTGTGCCCTGCTGATCAGCATGAGCTACTGTAACTACAGTAGAGGTGTTTCTGGGCCTTGTTATAAGCTGCTAGTCAGTGTTGGGGAAACTACTCTGAACATGTAGCTTTGCAAACTAACAGTTACTTCACACGGAAAGAAGTGAAAATACAACAAAGCTACTCTAGAGAGAAATGTAGTTTAGTAAAGTTAAGCTACTTAGAAAAAGTAGTTTAAGCTACTTTGTAAGAAATTATCAAACTGACAATGTACAAAACTAACATAAAAAGTGAGCAAAAAATGCCATTCAGCTGAGTTTACAAATAGATAAAATTGTCCTAAATAACACAGTCCTATCTGGGCATTTCACAATAGTAATATATATTTCTTTTAAACAAATTGCTGTAGGACCTGAGACTGTAGGAATATTCAGCAATTTCTTCTTAATTTCCTCTCCTTCAGTTGGGAGTGTTCGCTGCTGCAACAAGCCATTTCAAACATTTTCACCTACTTTCCATACTAGAACTATGACCAGCGAACAGTGTAGCTTGTGTGACCTAAACTTCACCAACAAGGTCCTTTACTCAACACTGTAAAATTGATTAAATAAACCAGTTTATATACATATTGATATTCATATATTAATTTACAGTTTTTGCTTAATAGGATGGGGTTGCAAACTTTTTTATTCTCTTGTTGCAAACTTTTTTAAGCTCTTTAGAAATATATTGTATGTACTCTATCTATCTATCTATGTATCTATTTATATATAAATATATATATATGAATTTACATTTTTTCTAATTTTATTTAATTTTTACTGTGCTCGGGTGTGATGGGTGTGAGGGTGTTCATGTAAAACGGTTGTTACTCTTCAGACCAATCCAGACTGAACTGTGTATCCTCCTCTCCACAGTATATGTGTGTGTAATACAGATGTGTTTTGTATGGGTTTGTACTTGTCCTGTGCACCAACCCGTCTATCTTCACAGAACACCTTGAGGTCCTATCATCCCAGTGCTGGACAGGCTGCCTGGTTCCCATTTAGATTATGGATACTTATTACTGGCTCCTGGCTGTCAGTCAGATTAAACCAATATATCCAAGGATGGAGGCTTATCGTGCAACAGAGAGGACCTTCTCCTGGGAAGGAGGAGGGGCCATTTAAAGAAGTCTTCTCCTAAACCTTCCATGTTTTACAAATTTATTACCATAGTCTCAACCTGTATTCATGTGTCAAGTCAAGTACTTCTTGTACAAAATGGAACAGTATGTTACTGTATGTAATTTCTGTGACTGCCTGTCACTGTATCTATCTATTTGTCTTAATAATGTTTGGACTATAACCAGAAGAATGGCAGTCTTACCATCCTGACAGCTGCTGTTAACTACAAAAAAACATGGCTGTAGTATCCCCATGTAACACTTTCATTTGAAATAAAGCTTGATGGTTAGCATAGCAGCCACGTTGCTAAATGGAGAAGAATAACTTACGTTGTTTGATGTTATGCGTGCTCACTGCTCAGATGTGTGGAGGGGGCTTGGTGGACATAAAACTGAACTGCTTAATGTTAGTGTTTATGTCGAACCATTCTAAAAGTGGTAAATCATGTCTGCTTCATATATCTTTTCATAGCCCCACTGCTGAAAGAGATACACTGGTTTAACTTTGATTACAACTTTTATATGGGTGGACATTGAAACATATGCTAAATTTTCAGGAGTTTATGAATAGAAATATTTCAATTTCAAGAAATAAATATAACACAGTTGTTGTAAGTCATGTTGCCAGGGTCTGACTAAAATATATATATATATATATTTCCTTTCCCATTACTGGCATACCAGCCCAGTACCACTAGCCTACTTTCCTGGTCTTAATATCCACATTTTGTTCTTCTTTTGTGGCAACATAATAGTAAAGCATTTGCACCAGAATATTTACATACATAAATAAATAAATTGTATCCTCTTTGCATTCTTTCTGTATACTTACATTACTAAATTTAACTAAACTGGGCATTGCTACATGAAAACAGAGCACCTTACAAAGATCCACTTTCAGACTTTGACTGCAACAAAACTTAAAAACTAAAAAAAAAAAAAATCAAACATCCTCATACATTAAGAGCAAAATGGATCACCTGTCACTGTCTTCCAAAATTACTCGTACTGCTCCAGCAGATGAAACTACTTGGCTCAGGTTAGAAAAACATCGTCATGGTTAAGAGAAGCCAGTGCTGATTGTTGGTTCCAGATGGATTATCAACTGTGCTCACATGTGTCGGCTTGTTAACCCAACCACACATCCTGATTTGCTTTAGCAATGTTACATTATTTCTACTTTTTATACTTAGAACAGTAAATATGACTGCTAAAGGTCATTTGTCAGGAAACATCAGTCATTTCAGGGTTTGAACAAACAATTAGCACGTTTTTTTTAATGAGGACAGTCTCTAACACCTCTGACTCTCCTGCTACTGTACACATTAAATATTTGTGAGATTTAGCCAGTTCTTATCCAATACTTGTGACAGGTTGAGTAGTTACAAGTTTCCAATTTCATTATTTCAGTAAACCCAAGCACATTGCTCATTCTCTTATCTATCTATTATTTATATAATTAAATAGAGGATACATTTTCTCTTGTCAGACAATAATATATAATCAAGACTATCAATTTCCATGAGCGATAAGCCATTTGATGCAACTGGCATGTTTTTCTTTTTTTTTTAACTCATCTAGGCACCAACTGAAGACATAAGTTTTACCTTATGATTCAATACTCGGAAACAAACAAACAAAAAAGTTTTATGAATCCTTATTTTCTCAGCATGTGAATTTGTGTGTGGGTGTAAATAGCTGTCTGCACACAGAGGCATACACATTTCTTCTTTGTGAGTGTGTAATTGTGTGTGTACACTATATACAGAGTATGTCTGTGGGCTTGCGTGTGTCTTGACCCCTATGGTAACAGAGGCGAGAAAAGAAAACTGCACTAGGCGAACCGTGGAATGCGCTTGGTTTTGGGATTACATTGGCCCGTGTGAAGACACAAAGGAGGCGAGCTTCTGCTGCTAGACAGATGAGAGGTTGGGGAAGTGCTTGGCTTTGACTCCTTGCGACTTCAATTTAAGCTTTCTCTCACATTTAAAGCAGCGTTAAAGGTTGTGGTTTGCTTTTTAAATTCTGTTTATCACAACAGCGTCTAAGTGAATCATTTTCCCTTCTGTTTTGGAGCTGCTGAGCAAAGATTCATGGATGTTGTCTGAGCTGAAATCCTATGTTCTGGTGTTGTCCTAAGTTTTGTCAAATCATTCAGTTCGACTTGTCTTTCAATAATAGAGAACAACATAGTAAATACAGATCCCAGAAATAAGGTGCCACATGAAATTGGATTCGCAATCTAAAAGCTGTTAAAACCCTTTGAGAGGTTTTTGTAAAGTGATTTTATTTTCACATCCAAAGGCACTACAGGGAATGCAGGCTGACAGAAGACTAAGGAGAAACATGCACTCTGAATGGTTTTCTGTTATGATTGGAAATGGGACTTGATTAGTTTGAAGATGGATTTGGATGCATTTACAGGCACAAAATGCTGGCATCATAACTCTCTCGCTGTCTTCCTCATGATCTATGTGGCCTTAACCCTCTTCATATGCTAATACCCAATTAGTATTCAACACTGTGGATGAAAACGTAAATGACATTGAATCATACTTTAATTAAGCAAGCATGCTCATTGGTAGGCTGTATAATTAGCTACTGGGAAATAACAGACATGCATATTTAATGTGGCCTGTAGAGCACCAAATCCCAGTACATTCAAGCCTTGTATGTCAATCGATCCATGATGCATCCATCCATCAGTCTAGTGACCTGTTCCAAATGACTTGGTTCATGCTGTAATATTTCTGATCATCCCCAACAATAATGTCAATAGTATTTGTCACCCTATGCATTTGATGCCTTTGGCATTCTGCTTCTGCATCTGCAGCCATCTTTCTGGCACACTTTTCGGAGCAGTTTTATGAGTGATGATAGAGATAGAGGGTTGTGGTAATGATGGTAGACAGGCCACATCTCAGCCACAGAGCTAGACTTGGGCTTGGGAGTCATGGATGCAGCAAGCGAGTCATGTATGCCACAGGGGTTAGTCCTATGCTGGTCCAGAATGATGAGCACATATTAGTCAAAGGCCACTGACCAGAACACAGCGAATAAATGGGGATGGGCTCTGACACAGTGCCGAGTTACCTTTCATGGTGGCATATTTCTGTTGGCTGGATGTTGTACCCTACAGGTACAGTAGCAGTTACACCTGGCTTTATACTGTATGCTGCTTTGGATTACATGTCAAATGTTATTACACATATGGTAGTGCACAGTGTGGTTAATTATACAGTTCAATAAGTAGTGTTAAATGCAGCTGCAGCACTGAATACTGTGACATAGTTGTAATAAAGCTAATATATTTTTTCTGTCTTCCCCTCCTCTCTCTTTTTCTTCCTGTGTTTCTCAACAGCAGCAGATGGTGAGGAACCAACTTCAGCAGGTGGGAAATTTTTATGCTTGGTAACATGATTTCCCCTTCGTGTGTGTGTGTGTCTGTTTGATGGAAGAGACGGAGAGAGACAGAGAGCACTTTCAGTTTCTAAATCTTGGCCAAGCATGTTTGTTTTTTCATTACCGCTGGCTCTAATTCCTGTATTGACTCACTGAACATGCCTGGTCAGTAGCACTCACAGTTATATCATTTGGTAGTTCAAATCATCGGGTAGTCCTATTACAATGTCTTCTAATAGTGTGAGAGAATTATCTTGTCTTTGCCTGTTACAGAGTTTTGAAATTGTTTTCAGACCCTCACAATCCATTTCAGTACACTGATTGCTTTTTATCACGACTGAAACTTAGCATCGTTCTAGGACTGTCTTTGAAAATCATTCCTAGTTTGTGTGAGTGTTGACTCTATAATGTATGAACTTACTGTAAGTGTAGCATCTATATAATTTTGCATATCTCAGAACCTCACTCTCCTTTATCTAGGGTGCAGTGCATTACATCCTTAAATGCATGCCATTAGCATCACTCTGAATGTACAGTGCATCCAGTCCCTGTGGAGTGCAGTCAGCGTGGTTTGTTCTGCTCTTAGTGTTTGCATGTAATAGGTTGAAAAGTAAAGATGAAGATTATCATAGTTCTTTTTAAAATCACCTTCCTTAGAGACCATATTTGGTATTCAGAAGCACCTCTTCTCATTATTAGAAGACCTGATGTAATGAGAGTTTTATTACGAAAGAAAGACCACAGAGGACAACAGTAAACAAGAACCTGATTAATCTTCATCATTGATGTAATTAAAATGTCACTTCACATCCTGGGGAAGTACCACAACTGAATACAAACCTCCCAGTTCTAAGTGCATCCTCGTCATCTAATTGTATTTGTCTATGTTTCTCTCATTAATATTAATCTCTGCTGGTTTATTTGGGGTCAAATGGGTTAAAACAAGAATGACTTATTTAGATAAAACAGAACACCCCAGCAACACTAAGCTTAGCGTAATCTCAGACTCCAATCATTAGTCAAAAAATAGAAAGACATTATGTGTTCTGTAACTTTTTAAACTGAAATCAAAAAGTTTAATTTCACAAAATAAATATAACAGTAATTTAAATGTCAACACTCAAATGTCATTTTTCACCAAATTGTAAAGTCAGAATGCACAATTTAAATTGTTTTGTCAACACTGCTATATTTTAATTATCTGTTGGAATAAATGTCACATTAAGCATTAGAGCTGAAATTCCCAAAGCAGCATATGGATGTGAAGTTAAGTGACAAAATAATTTGATTGCCATAATGATTTATAGTTATTCCAGTGTACAGTAATTCAGTCTGAATCAAATTATTGTTATGGGTACACTTAATGTACTGTATTTCTGTTCACTGCTTGCAAGAATAACTGCAGTAAATAGCCTATACTGTAGACATTTCAGGTAACAGAGAGAATGCAACAAATGGCACAACAAATACTGGATCTGAAAATGACTTGAAGTAAGTGTGACCGGTGACCACTGACCTAGAGCTGGACTCACAGAGAAAATAGGACAGGGTGATATGGAAGGCCAAGTTACTCATGACATGTTTGAAGAATTTACTTTTACCAGCTGTTAGGTCACAGTCTCCATATCTTTAAATGTTGGTCTGTGGGTCCCGCTTTCATTTTTCATCTGAAGAAAAATGATGAGATTAATTATTTTTTTCAAGCTCAGACTCATTGGCCTTGGCTTATTTTCTGTGAAGAACATATATCTGAACACATTTTCAGTGACCACACACTGTACACCCCCCCACACATTTACATTACACACAGGATGCTTGGGTCCCCTGGACCCCAGGGTAATAAAATTATGTCTTGCATAGTTCAAGCAGCTACATCTGCTCTCACAATGAACCCCCTGCACATTTTAGCATATGTATTGTGGCCTAACAGTGTTGCTTAATAAATTTATTCCACTCATATCTTTATTATAATTGATTATCTTAGTCAAAAATTAAGTGGGTCCACCAGACCCAGGAACACTGGCTGAGTAACAAAATTCATTCACATTAATTAATAAATGTGATCTAACAAAGGTCTATTGCTTGTAATTGGGGTGTAGAGTATTTTGACAATAAATAATTTGATTGTGTTGAATTTTAAAAAATGCAGTGGGTCAACCAGACCTACAAACACTGGTTGTGTAACAAAATATGAACAATACACAAACAATACACCCCCCATGTCTGGACCCATAGAAAGGGGGCAGTTATTCATTTGACCTGCTTTTTCTTTGGGTCCTGTGTGTATCTCTGTGTCTGTGTCCATGTTCATTTGATTATATTATACTGTATAAGTTTATGACCACGGTCCAGTCATGTACATTGCATCTGAAGCTACTATGAAAATTGAATTGAGTTTTGGTGAGAATATATGTCTTGCATGCTAAACATGAAAGAGTATTGAATGTATATGAATCACTATTGAAATAAAAAAGAGAAATAATATATAAATATTGTAATAAAGTACACTTAACCCCCCTCTATTTCCCTTCCCCCCCACACCCCCACCCTCTCTCCATAGAGATATAAGTGTTTTTAATGGGCACTGGTCTTTCATTATGTACAGTATCAAGAGACTCTAATACTCAAATCTCAAATATCCTCATTAGGAAAAATCCTCTTCAACATCCTTCCTCTCAGATTATGACATGGACCAAACTCTTCAGTGACTTTCAGCAGCAGATGAGCCCATTAGGTGCCCAAGACAGTGTCTTTAGTAGAAAATTATTTTCTCTACATTGAGTATCTGGTTTAAAGAGAGATAGTTGTATAATTTTGCTGTCATTTACTGTATGTACTTATTTATCTGAGAAACAAGACCCTTGTCTTCTAAAACCCATTGTTCATTTTACAGATTTTAAAAGCTTGATATGTTTTGATATTGTGTGCATTCCTGTATTTTATGCTTCATTCACATATGGTAATTGCTGCTGTTGGACTGCATTTTTAGCATCCAGTCACATTTAAAATTTACAATCAATGAAAGAGTAAATGAACATATCAGCTGCTTAATTGTCTGCTTGAAGAAGCACAAAATTAAGGATGACTTTGTTGTGGCTTTTCTCCTGAGAATGAAATGCGTTTCACGGGCTGAAGAGTCTTACCTTTTGGTGTTGTTGTTTTTATTGGGTCTATCATCAGTCTTACAAAAGGTCAAGGATAAGGTAATCAGGAAATATACACTTCCTGAAATGAATTTTAATGATACATAACAATGCAGGTGCCACAACAAACACTATAAAGGCAAAATGGTATGTGTGGTCAAACACTGCTGCTGCCACTGAGATTGTGAGAGGCATGACTGAGCTGTACGGTTACAGTAAGTGGATATGTAACAGTCTCCAAGCAGAACAGTAGTTCTCTAGTGAACAGGTTAGAGTCATCCTCTGTCTTACTGATCAGCTTACAGCTAATTTCTACTATCTGGTATACAGTTTGGCTTTGCTTGCAAGCATTACAATCAGGAAAATACCTCTTTTGGAGAAGACCTTTTGGGAGACAGGGACACAGCTTTGACATTTTCATGGTATTTAGTGTCTGACAAGACAACCTGAAATTCTGCCTTTCTATGGATGTTCCTGGAATTATGCTGATCTGCATTGTGACCTCTTCATTCTGTTATTTATATGACATTTTCCAAACCATTTTGATCCTATATGATTCTCACTACCTTCAGCTCCATGTGCATTTGTCTGATGTCAGATTGTGATGGGCTGGACTGGCAGAATGGTGAGGGCACCGGAGAACAGGAGGCTGGTGTCTCACTGAAAGTGTGAATTTGTGGTGTTTCACACTGAAAGCGCCCATGTAATATTGGTGGTACAGTGCCAGCCTTCATCAGTCGAGGTTAAGGATGGGTGCAGTGACCAAGAGCCCATGAACCAGTGAAGCCATCATAGAAAAAGAGGCTGGATTAAAATAGGTTTGACACAATTAGGCCATGTCAGATTTTTCTGTGATGTGGATGGGTGCACATTCAGCGCTGAGGAGCAACAATATAAATTGCACACTCTTGAGGCAGGTAAAATGTGTTTTTTTATGTATTTTATGAAAGGTTAACATGGTGGTTAACCAAATTCAGAGCTGACAGTTTAATTTTCAGGGGCGTTTTTCATTGACAGCTATTTCATTTCTGCTGTTTAGATATCTACTCTAGAATCTTTTTGAAATGAATGTTTTTCAGTGAAGGCAGTGGGTGTAACTGGGGGAGTGTTTCTCAATGCACTCGTCAATGGAAGATCAAACATGTGTTGTGTGCAGATGGTTGCTTATGGTTAGTAACAGGATTGTTTTAAAGGCACTTCCTCCTCCCTGCTGCTGTACAGTAAATGGTGAGTTAGCCCCACAACCTAAACCACTTTACTGGGATCAGTAGAAATCTCTTTCAAGGAACAATCGGCAATGCTTTGTGTTACCTCCTCATGACCCCACACAATCATGAAAAACTATTGAGATTAAATGAGCTAGAGCAAGATCTCTTTCTTTTTCTCTGCTTTTAATTGTCAGTGTGGTAAAATATTGCTCACATTTTTAGAGAGGGACATTTTCTCTGAGTCTTTTATAGAAAACACAGTGAACAAGTGGCTCCATGTTTAATTATGTCCCTCTTTTAAAGTCAAGTCAGTCTTAATATCTCAAGCTTCTCAATTTCATTGGTGTATTGTAAAATGTAATGTTGTAAACTAAGAGGGTATTTTATTATTTATTATTCAGAACACACACAGCATCATCCTTTTCCTTAATGAAATTAGTACTGCTGGTATATTTGGAACCAGCTAATGTTTGTGACAGCTGTCAGCTAAGATGTAGGAACACATATGTAGCCTTAACCCTCCAAATGTCAGGTCTTTGTGATTGATCTGCAAGGAAACAAAGGATGCTTTCCTGTGTTTAACCATTGCTCAGGTTTTCACAGCTGATTGATTGCCCTTTTCTCACAGCCAGAAAAGAAATCACAGCGCTCGTGCTGGACGAGGCACAGGCTCACATCAATCATTGAGTGAGTGTTGACTTGTACGGCAGAGCAGCAGTTGACATTCACACAAGAAGGCTGCCAGTGTTTCCTCCATACACGCATCACGCACACAACCTGCACGCAGAGTGAAGAGAGCGTCATCTGACAATCTGATGAGATCCTCTCAGATCACTCACTTTTTGCCTTTTGTTTTCTTTTAGATGTGTTCTGTGCAATCCCTCCTGCTTCTCCATTCATGCCTCTCATTCATTCATACATTTCAAAGCACAAAACACCACTTTATTTCCTAAAATGGAACATATCTGTGTTATTGACTGTATATATAGTGGACCTTTGTTTATTTTTCTCATTCCACTGCTAGTGTGCTCATACTGTAGCAGTAGCAATTAGATGTGATATTTTCCTGTTAGTTTGCATCCTCTCTATGGAATAATTATTTGATAGTGAAGTGGGCATCCATTTTTTTTCCTGTGCCATCTGATCCCAACTCACAGCACTGTTGCACTTTGTGGCTTTTTTCAACACGGTGAACAACTATGCAGTCTCCCTCACTTTGAAGTACTTTTAGTTTATAATTGCCATCCAGTTTTATAACTTACAACATTAAACTCACAGCTGTGATGGCTGAGAGGTTAAGGTGTTGGACTTGAAATCCAATGGGGTTCCCCATGCAGGTTCGAATCTTGCTCATAGCGCTGTACTGTTCAGCTCCTGTGAGTTAGTTTTTCTGTGATGGTGTAAATTTATGGGCCTCATAAGATAGAGTGGTTGCCCCCACACACCGAACCAGAAGGTCAGTGGTTCAATTCTCCATATGTCAGTGTCTGGGCAAGACACTGAACCCCAGGTTGCTCCCGATGGCTAGGACAGCATCATCCCGGCTGCCTCGGCTCTGAAACATACTTGGCCAATAAAAGTGATTATCATTAATAACTGATCAAATATTGCTTTGTCACGGAGCCTTTATATATGTTTAAAAAAACAAACAAACAACCAAAAAACACATTTCTGACTCAAACATAGCTGTCAGGCAGAACACGCTCTCATACTCCCTCACCTTGAGTCTCTCTCCCATCTCCCTCAGCCTCCTTCCCTCCCTGCTTTTTTCTGCTTTATGCATTCTCCATTAGGGAGGCTGTCAGTGCGCCTTGGTGCAGCTATAGATCGTCACGTCAAAACAGCCCTGAAACCTGTCACCCCCCTTTCCCTCAGAGAGCAGGGCCTCTGTGAAAGCTATTATAAGTTCCTCTGTTCAACTGATTAGCCACGGCTCTCATTATTACTGATACAGGTCCTAGCTTTGAAATGGCATGACTTCAATAGGATTACCTCGTTTGTAATTCATATCCAGAGGCCGGCTAATTCCAACAAGAGAACAATAACAAGCTTGCAAGTGATATTTATTTGTTTTCTGTACTAAGTTCATTTTAAGCCTATACATTTTCTGGGTTGGAGCTAGTTTTAAATGGTTGAGCAGATGACTTGCTATACAATTTAAAGTCTCGCCTATTTACTTGATATTGTCAGATTTTGTGCTCAAGGTTGTTCATTTGTCAAATTGACTTAAGAGGGCATGATAGTCTCACCCCTGAGACTTATTCATGTTGCTTATCACTTAAAATGAAATAAGAGGCCTGTCAAAGCATAGTTTTCCTGTCAACATTGAGATATGACTGCAGAACGACTTGAATAGAAATGATATGAAGAGACAGGAAGCTTTAAAAAGAAGGTTACTGGAAGCAAATTTGTTTAGGTTCTTTTGTCACAGACAGGTCAGCTTTGGGCTAACCGTAAGCTACTGTATCGCGTTGGTCTTTTAATTTTTGATGTGCCAAGTTTGCATTAATACACAGTGGGAGACTTTCAAAGTTTTCTCATCCAATTTCAGTACTCAAAGTTTTGACAGCCTGGGTGCAAGTGAACAACTCGATGTTTAAAAGATGAGACAGCTATTGGCAGGCCCTTGAGTTATGAAACCAATAACCCTGCATTAAGCCCTCATCATTTACACTTGGCCCCTCACTGCCGGTTAGTCAGAGGAGGACTTGAAATGGCAGTAATATGGCCCCATGTTGTGGGAACTGCCAGTGAAGTAATAGGCTACACTGCTGGTTGTCATAAGTTTGATTCAAAACCTTGGTTATTATCATTGGTCCCAAAGAGATAACATAGAGTAAAGACAATGAAGTAAAAGGAATAAAAAACAATTCACAGACGAAAAAGTGATCCAAGTGAGTAATTAATCATAAACAGAAAAACTTTGTTTTTTTTTTGCAGTGAAAATCTTCCTTTTGTTTGCTAAATCCCTAAAGCATGAATTCACTAGCGACTGCTAAGCTTCCCAGTGTTTGCTACACCCCAAATACTGAAGAGAAAACAATGGTAGTGATGAATGGGGTGTTGCACACACAAGCAACAACATGTGCTTACTGGCTATGAATATGAATTCCCTTGCAAATCAGTGTTTGGCGGATGAGGGCTTTTTCTGTATTGACCCTTGGACAGCGCACAGCATAAGCATCACCCTTTAATTTTCAAGAGGAATGCAGAACTGTTTTGTAATCTGGTGTGGAGCAACAACATGTGGAAACCTTTACAAAATGGGCCAGTATTCAAAGTGATTGGATACTCTCAATCTACTGAACAGCAATTCTTGCAGTCCATAGGGTTTATTAGTAAACATATTGCAATAATTAGGCTTCAGCTGTAAAGTTTCATGAGACAACTATCACCTGGTTATGATCTTGTATACTGAAAGCCTTGTCTTTAAATAACGTGATACTTCCTGTTCTTACACTTTTTTTTGCATTATGTAAGTTCACTTAGTCATACACAATTTAAACATACTCAAAATATGTTTTATAGACTAAGAATGAATGTCACTGTGACTTTTTAAACATGTTATTTGTGATTTGCATTTTTTAGTTACCTGTCAAAAAAGGCTACTACTGTATCCTGTACCTTTGTTATTCAAGGAGAAAACAGCAGCATCAGTGGCAGAAGGTCAGTTATTAATTAGCCAGTGAGCCTGTGCTTCATATCAAGTGAGGCTGGAAAAAAACTATGCAATCACTCAAGCAAAAACTGTTTCAGGGGCAAATGTTTTGCACTTTGGAATATAAATACAGTGCACTAATTACATGATAATTGACCTTATAAATGAGGAAGGCAAATAAAAAACTAAGCAAATTGTGCATAATAGATTGTTTGTATTGTAGAAATCATACTAATTGCATTTTTTGTGGCTAGTATGATATCATCACTTTTCTGTTTGGAATTCAAGTTGCTCCACTCAGTATTCATCAGTTCAGCAGCTGTCTTCTCAGTTTCCATGTGTGTGTGAACATGTCAGTATGTGTGTGCTGGTGTGAATACATTTCAGTGCATATAAGTGATAGTGCTCTGCCTTGCAGCTAGTCTGTGCTCTCCACTTAGCACTGTGAATGAAGTCTTGCATTCCTGGAGGGGACATATTCAGTGATTTTTTTAGACACCTCCCTGGGCTGCCCTCCAGACCACAGAGACCAGTACCAGTCACTGAAAGCCAGCTTCTCCCTCCTGTCCTGTCAACCTCTGTTCTGCCTGTCGAACTGTTTGCTCATACACTGTCTCACAAGGTCCAATGTAATTTATGCATTCAAACTTTTCCACTATAAATGTTTCCAACTATATAGCCCATGCACACTTCATACATCAGTGGCTGGGTAAAGTTGTGTGAGAATATTTATCACTGTTGGCATGACAATATGCATTTTATTTATTCACACACTAAAAACAATGCGCCACATAATGCAATAGTGAATCTATTATCTAAAAGACTGTGTTCTTGTATACAGAGTAAATGAGAAAGTAAAATATGCAGCCCATTATCTGTGTCCCGCAGTCTTAACACGCTTTTAATAGTGTCAACACAGACTGAGCAGTGTTTTCCTCTTTTGTTACACAGGCCCTTGCCATCCAAACCCTTGCCACAACAGAGGAACATGTGAGATCAGTGAGACCTACAGGGGCGATACCTTTATCGGCTATGTCTGCAAGTGTCCACCAGGCTTCATTGGAGTTCATTGCCAGCACAGTAAGTTGGACCTGAAGAACCTTGAAATGCAAATTTGCATAAAATAGAACATCATATCAAAGCGTCTGTAAGATGGTGGAAAAACCTCTCCTTTTCTAAATTTCTTTGTCTGTCTGGTTTGAAATATTTCTCTGCACAAAAAAAACGACCTTGAGCTAGGAATATATGTTGAAGTGACAGGAAGTAAATTGCTGGTGAAAGGATGAGTTCAGCAGAATAATACTGGGTTGGGTAGAGAAAAGAAGTGCTGAATTTGCTTTCTTTTGTTTGAGCCTGCTCTTAATAGGAGTTAGTATCAAAAGGCT